GAAAGTATAAATACACAAATGGAAAGGAAACACATTCTTTGATGCTGTGTGAATATTAGTATGCTTTCTCCTTGCTAAAATTCTATAACAACTTAAGAAACTTTACAAGTTTCTTGTAAAGAGGAAGCTACTATTCATCCTACTGTATGTGGCTTGTTTGGTTGTTAGTATGAGGAAGCAGAGGGTTACGGACTTTTACAGAATTCTAAATTTGTCTTCTGGAGGTAGAAGGCCAATCTACTGGGCTGCAGAGTAGCAGTGGAACAAGGACCTGAACAAAGTAGAATCTGGGACCTAGAGTTAAACCTAGAGAAAAAAAAGATAAAAACCCTTTATGATGGTGATGGTTAGAAGTGTAACTGGCTTGTTTAAATTACTGAGAGACTGAAAATGTCAGAGTTCTGAATGGAGCTAAGCTTTTCATTTAAATTATTTTCAATAAACAACCTCCTAAACAAAGTTTTAAACTATCACCATTGTGTTAGAGTGATTCTAGTGCATTAGAAAGCAGAGGAAAAGAAGCCAATCTGTTGAGGTCAAAACACCAAGGTGTTACACTATATTAAATCCAAATACATAAACGTATACTATATTTGTCAGTCACAAAAATCACAGTGCCACACTAACACCCTGAAGGACATATATCACATGTTTAAATGTATTTCAAAAGCTTTAGGCCAGTTTAGTCTCTGAAAGATTTGAGATAAAGATGTGTTTATAGCTTGGCTGGGGGACCAACAACCTGGGCAAGTGACAAGAACATTGGGACAAACAGAACTACCAGCCAGGACCCCCTTTTACACAAACAGAACTTTTAAACAATACATATTTTTATAGTTGTTTATGACTATTTTAAGAAACAAGAAATTCATTGAATATAACTTTGCATAATTTGCAAAGATGAATAATTACAAGTAGAAGCCAAAAATAACATACCCTATTAATATTGATAGCAACAAATGAGGAGAACCCATTATTGATTATGTACAGCATTTAACAGCTGATATACAGTATGGTTTTAGAAATACAGACCTAAAAATAAAATTGAGATTGTAAAGTTTAGAAGCAAACAAAGCTGTGACAGAAGATCTCTTACAAAGAGAACAGTCATGGCAAAGAAAAGAGAAAAGCAGAGGCCTACCAACTCATTGTAGAATAATTGCAACAGAGGCAGAGGCTGAAACAGTTTAAGACAGACATGAAAATAAGGAACATAGGACAACAACATTGCTGGTGCAGAGGCCCAGTTTGACTGGCAGAAGCAACAAGAATTAAGATAAAAATGGGGGGCTGATGGAGCAATTGCAAGGTGGAAGCCATAAGGAGAGGAGTTGTGCTTTTAGCCTGTATGAAGTCTGATTGAGGGAGTAATAATTAATTAATATCAGGGGGTGCTGATGCTTTGGCAAATTGTTGGGCTGGCTTATTTGTTTGATGCATTTGAAGAACCTGGTCTGAAAGGAGAACCTATTGTACCCCTGCAAATATTAGGCAGCAAGGGCCAGTAGACTGGCACAAGCAGGAGACATAGTGGACTGGGCACAAGAATTAGAAAGTATTCCAGGGGCTGACACTGTGCCAGTAAGATGTCAGTCAGGTGTCCAAAAGTTCAGATACCCATTGTCTGAACCCTAGGTAGGATGTCTGTATTGAAAGGCAAAATTAAGGTCACAAGAGAAAAAAAAGATGAAAAGATAAAGCCAGGCCCTAGGGCATAGGAAATCAGAATAGAAGATAAAGAGTTCAATCCATATAGCATGCCAGTGCAGATTGAGAGGCAGAGGTAGAAACGAAATGGGTATAAGAGAAAGGATGAACTGCCTGGGGCCAAAGGCACAGTGGGTAGGATTTGTTAAAGAGTAGGTAAAATTAGAGCAGGAAGCTGGCTGGGACAGCAAGGGAAGGATTGGGAGATTAAAAGCAGTGGCAAAGATTGAGATTCATTGTACAGCATTGATAAAAAATATGAAATCCTCTACTTACACTATAACACATCTGTTGTATAACACAGATGGAGATTCCTTCTTAAAGCAGAGGTTTTTCTTCCAGTGTACAGTCAATATGTCATTGAAGTGAGGAATAGTTTCTTTGAGGGAAATCTGAATCAAACTGATAACTGTTGCATACAGAGTGTTTGTTAGGATGAATCCCACTGGCAAGGGGACATCTGCTGAACAATCCTCATTGCCAGATGTCAGTAATGTCAGCTTTGTCTACATAATTCTGAGTAATAAGCAAGGAAACACCTACATTAAGCATTGCCCTGTTTACTATCTTATGTAAAACGTTTTGGTCAACTAATAAAAAGAGTTTTTGATCTTACATGGAGAGAATGTGAGTAGAATACAATAACTCAACACAGACGTGTACCACAAGTTGGAGAATGTGGAGCTATTAGGAATGGCATTTATTTTTTATTTCAAACCACAATGCTGCTGTGCCGCCCTCGATAAAGAAGTATAGGAGGAGTAATTCAAATTAAACCAGATGTCTCTGGAGATTTGTGACTGTAGCATATAAGTACTGTATATTGAAAGAAATGTACAAGGGCATCTAAACACAAAAGCTTGTATACACACAGACCTTGATGCAAATCACATGTGACAACAGTTCATTGAAGAACTATCCTTAATAAGCAAAGAAGCATGTAGAGAATCTGATGTATTTTCTGAAATGTTCATTGGTATGATAAATTGAAGTTATAGAAAAATAAATATATTTATGCTTCTCAGAAAAATGAACATGCATTTTCGTAAAAAAGTATAGTCTTATTAAGAAAGAAAGTTTACCACATCTAGATTTAAACACTGAGGTAACAGCAATGTTATGAAGCTAATTCAATAGCTCAAGGTCTGTCTTGTCATCATGTAATTTTGAGAGATAATTTATATTGTATATTGTCTGAGGCATCCACTTTAGTTCATTATTTAATTTAATTAATTGAGAGTGACATTACATTAGAAGATTATGAAAAAGGCAGTTACTGATTACAATCAGCATTAACATGTTCCCACTTGGTCAGTTTTTAAGATCACATGGCCTCAGCTATCATTTTTACGCTGACGATACTCAAATATACATCCATACCAAACCCGACACTGATGTGGCTGTCTCTATTCTATCTAATTGCATCTCTGACATAAAAATTTGGATGACTCAAAACTTCCTTCATCTTAACTGTTTGATTGAAGTCATGCTTATTGGTACCCCCAATCAACTTCGTAAAGCCAGTCCTGTAACCCTGTCTGTAGATGGCTCTGTACTTGAGCTTCAATCAAAATTGAAAAACCTTGGGGTTATTCATATTTTCTTCACCTTAGAAATATCACAAGACTACGCCCTATGCTATCATTAACTGTGGCTGAAAAGCTGATCAACAT